CTGCATTCAAACTCCGTAGTTCTTTCTCTGGATGTGGATAGCATTTTCCATCATGAGACTTTTGGAGATGTTTTAGATCCTTGTATTGCTGAGAAAAGCTAAGTCTATCAAAGTCAGTCATCACACAACGTGGCTGTTACTGTGTACAAGGCTCTCCTGGTTTTGCTCACTTCACTCAGAATCGGTCCATACAAGTTTTTCCAGGTTTTTCTGAAATTTGCTTGCTCATCATTTCTTATAGCACAATAGTATTCCATTACATTCATATATCACAACTTGTTCAGCCATTCCCAAATTGATGGGCATCCCTCAATTTCCAATTCTTTGCCACCACAGAAAGAGCTGTTATCAATATTTTTGTACATGTGGGCCCTCTTCTCATTTTTATGATGTCTTTGGGATACAGCCCTAGAAGTGCTATTGCTGGGCCAAAGGGTATGCACTTTTTTATAGTCCTTTGGGCATAGTTCCAAATTGTTCTCCAAAATGGTTGGATCATTTCACAACTCCACCAGCAATGTATTAGTGTTCCAATTTTCCCACATATTCTCCAACATTTATCATTTTCCTGTTTTGTCATGTTGGCCAATCTGATAGGTGTGATGTGGTACCTCAGAGTTTTTAAAACTTTGGGTTCCAAATTTTCTCCCTTCCTCCCTTCCCACCCACACTCATTGAGAAGGCAAACAACTCAATACAGGTTATACTTATGTAGTCATGCAAAATACTTCCATAGTAATCATGTTGTGGAAAACTAACTATATTTCCCTTCATCTTATCCCATGGCTCCCCCCCCCACCCCAGTTTATTCCATTCTCTTTTTTGACCCTGGCCCTCCTTAGAACTGTTTGCTTCTGATTACCCCCTTCCCCAATCTACCCTCCCCTCTATCATCTCCCTGCTGTCTTATCCCCTTCCTCCCTAGTTTCCTGTAGGGTAAGATAGATTTCCATACCTAATTGAGTGTGTGTGTTGTTCTCTTTTTAAGTCAAATCCTATGAGAATAAGACTTGTTCATTCCCCCTCATCTTCCCCCACTTCCCCTCCACTGTAAAAGTCTTTTCTTGTCTGTTTTATGTGAGATAATTCACCCTATTCTACCTCTCCCTTTCTCCTCCTCCCAGTAGAATCCTATCTCACCCCTTAATTTTATTCTCCAGATATCACCCCTTCATCTTCAACTCACCCTGTGCCCTCTATCTATCAATCTAGCTATACATTTAATTTTTTTTTCCTTCCAACTATCCTAATACTGACAAAGGTCTCATAAGTTACAAATGTCACCTTTCCATGTAGGAATGTAAGCAGTTCAGCCTTAATAAGTCCCCTATGATTTCTCTTTCCTGTTTACTTCTTCATGATTCTCTTGAGTCTTGTATTTGAAAGTTGAATTTTCTATTCAGCTCTGGTCTTTTCATCAAGAATGCTTGAAAGTCTTCTATTTCCTTGAATATCCATTTTTTCCCCTGAAAGATTATATTCAGTTTTGCTGGGTAGGTGATTGTTGTCTGTAATCTTGGCTGAATATCATATTCCAAGCCCTCTGGTCCCTTAATGTAGAAGCTGCTAGACCCTGTGTTATCCTGACTGTGTTTCCACAATACTTGAACTGTTTCTTTCTGGCTGCTTGCAATATATTCTCCTTGACCTGGGACCTCTGGAATTTGGCTACAATATTACTAGGAATTTTCCTCTGGGGATCTCTTTCAGAAGGTGATTGGTGGATTCTTTCCATTTCTATTTTACCCTCTGGTTCTAGAATATCAGGGAAGTTTTCTTGATAATTACTTGTTTTTGTTTTTGTTTGTTTGTTTGTCTGTTTTTTGGCTAGGCAATGGGGTTAAGTGACTTGTCCAGGGTCACACAGCTAGTAAGTATTATGTGTCTGAGGCCGGATTTGAACTCAGGTCCTCCTGAATCCAGGGCCGGCGCTCTATCCACTGTGCCACCTAGCTGCTCCTCCTTGATAATTTCTTGAAAGATGATGTCTAGGCTGTTTTTTTTGTTCATGGCTTTCAGTTAGTCCAATAATTTTTATTTCATTATTTATTTTTTTATTTTTAGGCAATTGGGGTTAAGTGACTTGCCCAGGGTCACACAGCTAGTAAGTGCTATGTGTCTGAGGCCTGATTTGAACTCAGGTCCTCCTGAATCCAAGGCCAGTTCTCTGTCTACTGTGGCCACCTAGCTGCCCTCCACTTTCTTCTTAAACCTTCCACAATTTGGCTTCTGGTTTCACCATTTAACTGAAATTGCTTTCTCTAAATTTTTTTTTAAGGCAATTGGGGTTAAGTAACTTGCCCAGGGTCACACAGCTGGTAAGTGACAAGTGTGTGGTCTGAGGCCTGATCTGAACTTAGGTCCTCGGAACTTCAGGGCCGGTGCTCTAGCCACTGTGCCATCTAGCTGCCCCTCTCCAAAATGTTTAAAAAGCTCTTATTTGCCAAATCTAATGGCCTTTTCTCAATTCTTTTTGACCTCTCTGCAGCTTTTGATATTATTTATCACCTCTGGCTGGATACTTTTGCCTCCAAGTTTTGCGACACTACTCTCTCCTGCTTCTCTTTTTAACTGTTCCTTCTCAGTATCTTTTATTAGTTCTTTATCCATCATGCCCTCTAACCATGGTTGTTCCCATGGCTCTGTCCTAAGTCCTCTTTTTCTTTTTCCTCTATACTATGTCACTTGATGATATCATTAGTTCCTACAGGTGCACAGTTCTACATCACTAAATGCCTTTTGGACATCTCAAACTGGATATATTGTAGGTATCACAAAAACAAATACATGCAAAACAGAACTCAACATCTTTTTCCCTCAAAACCCTCCCTTCTTTGAAATGTTTAAAAAAACCTATTGGGGCACTCTATTTTCTCAGTCACCCAGGCTTGCAGTTTTCATGCCATCCTTGAGATCTCACTCTCATTCATATCACATATTCAGTCTCTCATGAAATTTTGTCATTTCTACCTTCACATCATTTCCTGTATGTGTCCTATTCTCTTCATTCACACAGCTACCACCTGAATCCAGGCCCTCATGACCCCTTCTGTGTACTATTACCTCATAACTGACCCCTCTACTTCAAGGCTCTCTTCCCAATCCAATCCCATTCTTCATTTAGCTGCTAAAGTGACTTTTTAAAAAACTTCAATCTGACCATGGCACCCCTCTTCCCTCCAATAAACTCCAGTAACACCCCTATTACTTCTATGATGACATTTAAATTCCTAAATTTGGCATTTAGAGATCTTCATAACAAAGTCAAATAAGCAGACTCAGGAAACAATATACTCAATAATTTGCTGTTATGTTGTTGTTTAATTGTGTCAACCCTTTGTGACTCCATCTGGGGTTTTCTTGGCAAAGATACTGAAATGGTTTGCCATTTCCTTTTCCAGCTCATTTTACAGATGAGGAAACTGAGGCAAACAAGATAAAATAACTTGCCCAGGGTCACATAGCTAGGAAGTATCTGTGGTCAGATTTGAATTCAGGAAGATGAGTCTTCCTGACTCCAGGTCCTGCACTGTCTCCACTTCAATTACAACAATGTAAATAGGAAGAAAAACAAACTACAAGAGAAATGAAAATGAATGTTGAAAGATTTCAAAGAAGCACAGCCTAGAAGAAGAAGCATAAGAATATACCTTCCCCTAACTCATCTGCAAAGTAAGGGGCCTAATGGTGTGGAGCATTACATATAGTTACATTAAGAAAATTGATTAGTTTTGCTGATTTTTTTCCTTTTCTTCCTCTTTTTCTTTAAAAAAATTCTGTTATATGGGATGGATGTCTGGTTGAGAGAGGGAGAAGGAAAATATAAAATATAAGGGAAAAATTCAGGTACTGTAGAAAACAAAAGGTATCAATAAAATCTATTTTAAAAAATTAAGATACTCTTTATGACCTGGAACCTTTCTACCTTTGCAGTCTTGTTACACTTTACTCTGTCCTTCAAACACTCTAGGATCCAGCTATGCTGACCTTCTTACTGCTCCTCCCACTTCAGCTCCATCTGTTTCTCTGTAAGCCTTGGTACTGGCAGTCCCCTTTGCCTGGAATGCTTCCCCTCTTCATCTCTTCCTTTGAGTTTCCCAGGCTTCCGTAAAGACTCAGCTCAAATCTCACAGTCAGCAGTAGACCTCTCCCAGTTCCTCCCAGACAATTGATAGTGTCTCCCATATACTATCTATACATCCATACATCTCTATATCTACATCTATATCTGTAAACTTAACTTTATTCTAAAGGGGAAATCCATCATGAAAATAACTAGGTACATTCTGTATCTATATCCCTAAGTATAGCAGTATCTATCCATCTATTAAGCTATGGCTATAATCTATGGTTTAGATCTATAGATCTATTTGTGGCTATATTGTGATCTATCAATATGGCTATAGATTTCGATCTAGATATTATATTAACTGGTTATTTTCATGTATGCTTCCACCTTTAAAGTATAAGCCTCTTGAAAGATTATTTTTTGTTTGTAGTCTCAGGCCTAGCAAAGAACCTGGCACATAATAGATGCTGAATAAGTGAATGGATGCAGCCAGATCTTTCCATTTCACATTCCCCTACTCTGTACATCTGAGGTCATTCACATTTACAAGGGATGGCTAAGCACCAAGAAGATATCAAGTGGTGGGTGGCATTTTAGTCCAAAACAAATGAAGACATAAATCGATCAGGAGAAATATTATTAATACATAACCTAGAATGTCTTAAACAAAAGCTGTTTGTTCCCTGCTCCGCACATTCTGTTCTGGGAAGTGTGAGCGATTTGGCTTCAAGTTCCGGGAAGGTTGTCGATATTCCCTGGCTGCAGCCGTCTCGCTGAAGGCCTGACAGAGGCCCCACTCTCTGCCTGTTCCCTTTGGAGCTGGGGGCCCCAGGAGGTCTCTCTCACTGTCACTCCGTACCTGGCCGCGCCCAGGCAGGCTGGTCTGGGCTGCACAGCCCCAGCTGTCACGCTACAGGGGTGGGAGGGAGAGTAGGGCAAGTGACTCCCTTAGCTGGTTTTTCTCCTCCCCCTCCTTGTGCTTTTTTTTTTCTTCCCCTGTCTCTCTGGTCCTCTGTGAGGGCGGCAGGGGCCGCTGTGTGGAGGTAGGCTGAGCAACTCCCTTAAATCCAGTAGTGTGCGCTCCGCTGCGCTTCTCTCCGGCTTGCCTCGGTTCCCAAGACTAGCGCTGCCCCGGCGTCTTCTCTTCTGCGCCCTACTCCACTCCACCCAGCGCCGGCCAGTGAGTGCTACTTTTCTTTGGGTGGGAAATGAACTTTCTTCGGGAGCGGAATCTCCCTCCAAGATTTGGGATCTGGGCGAGGGGTCGGGAGAGGAGGTGAACAGAGTAATCTGGGAGAACCTGAAAGCTCTGAGAATCCAGGTGCCCTGGGATTGCGGTGCCTGGGTTTCGAGGGGAATAGGAATGGGGCCCCTGCACCAGGATTGAGAGCCACTTTTTAATACGGCTTTGAAACGAGAGGAGGCCCTTCCCTCGGGTGAAGGTCCCGTGGTGCTGCTGCCTAGCAGGGTGGGGTTGGGGAGCCGGGGGGCCAAATCTTCATTTGTGGCTCACGCCAGATCTCCTCTTTTCCTTCTGTAGCTACTGTCCCAAGGGGATCAATTGACAGATTGATATTGTAGTTCTCCGGTGGAGGGGAGCCTGGTAGGAAGTTCCCTCGGTTCCGGGATGGCAGGTTTCTCGCTCTATGGAGTGCCCCCGCACGGCGCTTGCACCAGGCTTCCAACCGCGTGGATCCCGGGAGAGGAGAGGCACTCGGTAGGGTCTGCCCTTGAAGTGCAGAGGTCGTCATAATTTGACCGTACTAATGACGGGCACACTCTTGCCCTCACTTTTGCCCCTAAGTGTGAGCTCTCTGGATTGTCAGAATTCCCTAGCTTCCTTCCTTTTCCTGGTCCTTTTGTGTTCCGGCAGCCGGAATCCACTTTGGGCGTTGCACTTGGCGCCGGGTACTGTTTCTTTGGCTCCCCGAACTGCATGCATCCTGTACTGGTAGCTTTTGCTGGCCGGAGAAGGATCATCAAGAGTAGTTTTTACTTGTAAAACTGGTCGTGCCCGAGATAGGAAATAGGAAAAGAGCTTTTGCTTTTTTTTTTCCTTCGAAGTTCTTGGATAAGGAGAAGTGCCCTTTTAGTCATCCAACTTTTTTTTTGTTGAATATTTCGTGTCTGCTATGTGCAGAACGTTGTCTTAGGTACAGTAGAAGATTGTAATGTGGGTAAAAATATAATCAGTCTTTGAGAAGCTCACAATCCAATTGCCTAAACCAAGTACTCAAAACAATTTATAACCTTTCCCCAAAGAAGTATTCCTTCCATCGAGTCCTTTCTCTCTGCCCTAAACTTTTGCTGGTGTCTCCCTTATCTTGGATATGTTTTCACTTGGCCCTACTTATCACACTAAGGCACCATTCTGTTATTCTACCCCCTTAGATAAATGGATGGGAAGCAATTTGTAAACCTTAAAGGGATATATGACACATATTTTTATTTACCACAAACTTTCTTTAAAAAAAAAAGTTCTATACTTGGGCTCTCTCCAATTTTCTTAACACATTCTAGCTTGAACTCTGGCTTCTTGTTCCAACCCTACTGGAATTGCTCTCTCCAAGGTCATCAACCACCTTGCTTATTGCCAAATCAAGTGGCCTTTTTCGTAGTCCTCTTTGTTGACCCCCCTGCTGTTTTAAAAACTATTAACTCTCCCTTCCTTCTCTTCCTTTGGTTTCTCTTTTTGTGGTTTCTCAAAACTACTATTTTGGTTCTCTTTCTAGTTCTTTGGATGTTCTACTCTGTCTCTTTCCCTGGCTTCATTTCCCCCCCATTCTTCCCTGAATTCATATAGTCCAAGACTCAGGTATCTGCTACAGACTTTCTCTATATGTTCTTTACCTGTGGTGATCTCATCCAAGCTCATGATTTCCACTACTTCTTGATAATCCTCTTATTTTCGTTTGTTGCCCTGATTTCCTTCCTGAATTACACTGCAGCATCTCCAGTTGCTTTCTGAAAATTTCGATTTGGATTGTTCCAATATCATCTCGAAGTCAACCTTTATGAAATGGAATTCCATTCATCTTTCCTCTCAAAACAAACTTCCCCTCTGGAATCTCAATTTCTCAGTGGCCCTACCTATTATTCTCACAGTTACCAATATTTGAAAGCTTGGAGCCATCTTTGACTCTTTCTCTTACCTTAGTCTGCTCCTCTATGCCTTCTCTCCAATTATCTAAATCCTGTTGATTCCATTGTAATGTCTCTTTCATCCACTCCTCCCTTTTCTACTATTCGTATCCATTCTATTACTATGTTAATCACCTTGTATGTGAACTGTTTCAATAGTCTCCTAATTGGTCTCCCAGCCTGTAGTCTCCCATTCCAGTCTATCCTAATCACCACTTCCAGATTTTTCAAAAACCAGCTTTGTACATGAAACTCTCCTGCATTAAGAAGTCCAATATCTCTACATCCTATAAAATTAAGTCCAAACTCCATAGCTTCATGTCCAAGGCACTCCAAAATATGGCTTTAAAATACCTTTTCTGCCTCATCTCCCACCTCTTATTTGCACCCTCTACTCCAAACAAATTGGCTTATAATATTGCCTGTACTGTTAACACCAACCTCTCCTTTCTTCTTGTTGCCCTCTTCTCCCTTTAGTTTCCTAACACTGGCTTTCTTACATGTCTACCAGTTTCATCTTTGTCTAATTACTCCTCCTACCAACTAACCATGAGTGTCCCTCAAAAATTCTTATGGAGTGCCCCTGCACGGTGCTGTTCTAGGCACTGTGCTAGGAGCTGGAGACAAAAAGCTAAAAAGTCCCTGCCCTTAAGGAACTTATGTTCTACTTGGGGGATATAATGTGAACACAAGGAAATAACAAGGATGTATAAAATAAAAATCATTTCAAGAGGGAAAGAGTGCTAATAACTGGGGTTATCAAGAGAAGCCTGCTGTAAGAAGTGGTGCTTGAGCAGTGCTTTGTAGAAAGCCTAGGATGTAGAAAGGCAAAAGTGAAGTGGAATTGCCTTCCAAGCAAGGGAACAACCTGGGTAATAGTTCGGAGGCTGGAGATGGCTCTCAAGCCAGTTTGACTGGAAAGGAGAGAGCATGAAGAGGATTCTTTCCATTATTGCTTTTATATAGATGATTCCCAGATCTATATAGTGGATATTGGTCTCTCTCCTAGCTTCATTCCTGAATCTCCAACTCTACGTTCAGCATTTTCATCTGTATAGCCTTCCATTCTCTCAAAATTAACACATCTGAAACTAATGTTCCTCTCAAAATCTTCCTCTTCTCCCAACATCTCTATTTCTAGAGTGGCATTGCTCACCATCCTCCAAAACTCCAAATTTCAGAATCATTCTTGACTCTTCCCTCTCCCTTTGTTTCCAAATCCAGTCAGTGTCCAAGTCATGTTGGGTCCACATCTTTCATAGGTCCCCTATTCTTCAATCACCCCCAATTTAGGCCCTAATTTTCCTTTTCTGGACTATCATAATAGCTTCTTCAATTGGTCTCCTTGCCTTTGAAAATTAAGTTGATGAGTTTTGTTTAGACAAGAACTAAAACAGAACCACAGTAATTTCTTGAGTTGGGGAGTTACTGAAAGCTATGGGAAAGGTTGTTATTGAAGGCATGAGAAGAATGAATTGGAGCAGAGAGATCAGGGAGGAGTCTTACCACTTCTAGGCCTGAGGCCCAATGTGGGCTTGAACTAGATCTGAGAAAGCAGAGAAAAAGTTGGCAAACACCAGTTAGTCAGTCAATAAGCATTTATTAAGTGCCTGAAATCAGCCAGGTACTGTGCTAAGTACTGAATGTACAAAGCAAGACAAAAGGCTATTCCTGCTCTTGAGGAGCAGACAATCTAATGGAGCAGTCAGCCTGCAAACAACTCCGTACAAACAAGCTGTGTACAGGATGAACAACAGAGAGAAGGCATAAGAATAAAGAGGGACTGGGAAAGGCTTCCTATAGGAAGGCAAGAGGCAGAGATGAGGAGAAAGAGCATCTCATGCATGAAGGAACCATCTAGCTCCCCCAGCTGCTAGGGCCTTCTCTAAAGTTGCTTTGTGCAAGAGACTGCCCTTTTCATATTGGATGTTCTTATTAACTATAAAGGGGGTGGAAAGACATTTTTTATTTAATTTAATTTTACTTTTAATTTATGGAATAAAATAAACTTTTCCATAACATAGTATAATAAAAAAGAGTGCACATAAAACTGCAAGTCTTTTAGGTATAATTCACTATAAATATATAGTAAAGTTATGTAAATTTCTTTTTTCTTTTTCTTTTTTTCCTTCCCTCCCCACCCCAGATGGCTACCATTGCCAAATAGGTATTTACACACACACACACACACACACACACACACACACACACGTATGTGTGTATATGTGTGTATGTAAAATTATTATATATATATCTATTTATCAGTTCTTTCTCTGGTTGCAAATCATGTCTTTCTTCATATGTCCTTTATAGTTAATTTGGATGTCTATCATAGTCAAAATGACTTATTCACTCAAAGTCATTCTTAAACAACATTGCTGTTACTGTATACAATTTTCTCCTGGTTCTGTTCATTTTGAATTTGCATGAGAAACACAGTTGAAAGCAGTTTAAGATGTCTCAGATTACAAATGCTTGAGGAGAGCCTCGAGATGAAAACATGCTTCAATGACACAAACACCGCACAAAGGTTGCATTGCATTGTTTCCCATTAGCTTATTAACATATGATTGTTTTCAGGGTTTTAAAAGTTATAACTGAGGAAAATATAGATAATAGAACTGTTTGGGGATTACTGCATAATAATTATTTATGTTATAACTGATAGACATGTAAGTTTGGAGTTTTTCATCCTCAGTTAGAGACTGATCACTACATATGAAGAGGCCCTGATTTGAAGCGTTAGAAGCTGGATCAATGGAAGCCAAAAGGGAAGATGTGTCCACCACGTGAAGAGAGATGGAAAGGAGACAGAAAGAGTGGGGACTACCCCGAGTGCTTGAAATTAGTAGGGCAGAGTGTTGGATGAGAGCTGACTGAGGCCAGTCAAGTCAGTCAACCACTCCAGTATCTTTGCCAAGAAAACCCCAAAAGGCGTCATGAAGAGTCAGACATCACTGAAATATGACTGAACAATAACTGTGCTAAGTGTTGGGGCTATAAAGGGAGGTGGGAAAAAGTCCATTGCAACTCCCCTCCCCTCTTCCCCCCAAAAACCTTTTTTTTTCCTGCTCTCAGGGAGCTCACAGTTTAATGTAAACAAGATAAATTGGAGATGGTCTTAGAAGATACTAACATTAAAGGTGATAGTGATCAGCTCTATATTTACTGTTCGGAAATCATTGGAGTAGAGAAAGTTCTGTAGCTGCTAGGAGCTGTCTAATGGAAGCAGGCTTTGACTTCTTGCAGAGTTGGCTGGGCTTGCCTGTGTTGCCCTTAAGTACCAGCTACAGCTTGAGAGGCAAACGCCTTAAGAGTCAGCTTTTGATGTGTAAGGTCAAGGAGAGAAAGGTGTTGTCATGATTCCATGGACTTGGAAGGTCAGGAAGATAGTGCTGGTGCTTATACTGATAGTGATATTTCAGAGACAGAAAAATCTTGTCTGCATGTATGTGTATTGTGTGTAGGCTGCTCTGTTCTAGTTCTGTTCCATTCAAGCTAATGCTTGTCTAGGACTATGCTGACTAAATACTGTGGACTGTTCAAAATAATTTTATGATATGCCTTTTCTAGAAA